TTCTATGAGTGATATTTGCTTTGTGTCCTATCACCCTTCTATTCAGCCATTCTCCCCTGTCAAGCAGGTAAACCTCTGCTTAGAAGAAATTGTTTCTTCTGCTGAGCCTTGGTGCAGTTGACAGCTGTCATATACAAGCACTGTACCTGAATATGTGTCTTTAGAGCTAGGCAGTCTTAAAGGGCTTTAATCTTTTCTCTTTGCACGTGCAGGGAATGCCTAGGAGCCAGAGACCCCTATTGTGGCTGGGATAGCAAGCAGAAGCGATGCACCACCATTGAGGACAGCTCCAACATGAGCCTGTGGACTCAAAATATTACTGAGTGCCCAGTAAGTGGAAAGCGTGGAAATATTTCCTATGTACTGGTGTGTGAGTGTGTGCATATGTGTAGAAGGGAGAGGGAAAGTGAGTGTGTGGCAGCCGGATGAGGACTGGCTGTTAGGAGAGCATGGAGAGCCCAGTGGCACACACTAATATCTGTGCACAGCCTCTTGTTTAGAACACAGAGACCTCACATTTATTTGTTTGTTCCCAAAAAGGGATCCCAAAGCAAGCATTCAGTCCTTCTTATGCCCACCCATGCCTCGAGTGAAGAACATTGGATCATGCCCACGTAAGCCCCAGATGAAACTTGAGCTTTCTCAGGGATACTCCACTGTCTTCACCATTTCCTTGGCTTCCCTGCAGGTCAGGGAAATCAGAATAGCTGACTATAGTGTCCTGGGGCAGCATTCTGTTAGTTTTCTTCTTGGATCCCTGAGCTGGGCCCAGAAGACAACACTGGTGGAAAACTGTTTCACTAGCAGGAAGAGGAATCTAGGGAGCAGCAGACAAACAGGGCATGCATGGGTGGTTTAGAGAGGGATCAAAAAGATACAGTATGTACTAGAGAACACAAGGGAAGGGGAGAGTGTAGCCAAGAGAGAGAGTATGAGAAAGAGAACATTGGGTTCTAACCTCACTTTAGCAGACCAAAGACCAAATCTGTGTGATATTGCAAGGGATGGTCTTCTTTCCTTGCCCTGGTGTCCCTCAGATGCATCACTTAAAAAAAAAAGTGTCTCTGCTTGAGTCAGTTTGAGTTGGCTCTGCAGCTCCCTTCCTA